CCCCCCTCTTCTTCACTTCTTTACTCAATACACATTTCTCAATCTAAATTTCTCTCATTCTCTCAATTTCCAATTTTCAAGACTTCAAGTGTTAATCTTAAATTCTCAAATCACAAGTTAAATCATGCCTCGTTCGGAAAGAGTGCGCTCATTCGTTTGGCAACACTTTGAGGTGCTAGAAGAAAATGAAGAAGGTCAGAAATTAAAGTGCAAGAACTGTGGTCAAGTCCAAAATTTTCGTTCAGGGTATGGCACAGGCACTTTAAGGAGGCATATAAAGTATTATCTTGATCATCATCCGGAAATTCGTATTTAAGATTTTTCGACAATTTATGTTATTTTAAAATTATTAGACGTATTTATGCTTAATGTTTTAGTTTGTTAGATTAATTTGAAGTATTATTAATTTATTATGCATGAAAATCTAGTTATACTAATTTTTTGTTAATTTACTTACTAAATGCAAACTTTAGTATATAATTATATATACATACTATACATATTATATATATATTATATATATTTATATAGCTATGTATAAGCAATTTATATTAGTATATACATATATAGTTTACAAGAAATTGCCTTAAATAAAAAAAACTCGGAACGAAAAAGCCCGTCGGCCCGGCCCATTAAACCCGGGACCATGTGGGCTTAGGATCGTCGTGGGCCTATTCCACCCATTGGGACCGTGAAGCCCTGGACCGTTTGGCCCCCGACCGCTAAAGACCGGCCCGCTTAAGCCCGGGACCGTTTGGCATGTTTAGGCCCGGGCCCGGCCCAAAATACGCCATTAATCTCATATGGAATTCACCTTGTTCCAAATGGATATCAAACGTGCATTTTTTAATGGACTTCTTACGGAATAAGTCTATGTGAAGCAACCTCTTAGGTTTGAATGTCATGAGCACCCTGAATATGTTTTTAAATTGGACAAAGCATTGTACGGGCTAAAGTAGGCTCCTCGAGCTTGGTATGAAAGGCTGTCAAAGCTCCTCTTGGAAAATGGCTTTAAAACAGGGAAAATTGACAACACTCTGTTCTTAAAGAAATGAGGAAGGAACCTGCTCATTGTTCAGGTCAATGTTGATGACATCATTTTTGGGGCAACAACTGATTCTTTGCGTGAAGAACTTGCAAAACTCATGGGAAGTGAATTTGAAATGAGCATGATGGGGGAACTGAACTTCTTCTTGGGTATTCAAGTAAAACAATCTCCAAACGGGATATTTATTTGTCAGCAAAAATACATCAGGGAGCTCTTGAAGAGGTTTGACATGGAAGCATCAAAGTTGATAGACACTCCCATTACTACGGCCACTCAATTGGACATGGATGAATCTAGATCTTCTGTGAATCAAACCATGTATAGAGGCATTATCGGGTCTCTCCTCTATCTCACTGACAGCAGACCTGATATTGTCTTTAGTGTGGGGCTATGTGCAAGGTTTCCATCAAATCCTAAGAAATCTCATTTGAAGGCTGCCAAAAGAATATTGAGATATCTCAAAGGAACAGAGAACCTGGTTCTGTATTATCCCTTAGGCGACAGTTTAATCTCATTGGTTATGCTGATGCAGACTATGCAGGTTATCTTGTGGATAGGAAAAGCACTTATGGAATGGCTTACTTTCTAGGTTCATGTCTTATCTATTGGGGCACAAGGAAGCAAAATTCAGTGGCTTTTTCAATAACTGAAGCAGAATATGTAGCCGCAACATCCTGTTGTGCTCAACGTTTATGGATTAAGTAGCAATTGGAGGACTTTGGGGTACTCATAGAAAGTGTGCCCCTTCTACGTGACAACACCAGTGCACTCAACATGGCAAAAAATCCAGTTCGACACAAAAGGACAAAGCATATTGATGTGAGACATCACTTTCTGAGGGACAATATGGAGAAAAGAGCTGATATGTATGAAGTTCTGTAGCACAGAAGACCAAATTGTAGACATTTTCACCAAGGCATTAAGTAGGAAACAATTTGAAAGAAAGAGAGTGAAGTTGGGGATTTTAAATCCCAATTAAGAACCCGATTCCTCTTTATCTGGCTATGAAAATCATCTTCAAGAAATAACTGGCTAAAAGTGTTTGCTGACCATGTCTAACTCATTTTGATACCGTTGCAGGTAAACATGCATGATGAGTATAGAAGCTGTAGATGCAGTGCATGAATGATAAAAGAGGATTGATACTTTCAAATAAAAGGTCAAGAATCGGGTTCTTGTATCAAAGGTTAGTAGTTCTATGCATCCCTTAATACATGTCTTAAAAAGGGTACAAAATACAACTGTCATGTCATCCAACTTTTCAAACTCTGTTGTCACGTCTCTTCATTTCAAATAATTCCATCTCCCTTTGAAACATTGCACTTCTCCACGCCTAACCACCATTTTAGAACCGGTCCCTATCTCTCTCCTTATAATTACTCACTCTTAAATAAATCCTCTTCGATCTCCACAAACCTTAAGCCTTTCATCAAAATTTCCCAAAACACCTTTACTTCATCTTTCCAATGGCTGAGACAAACTCCGACCTCCATGCCTCTATCGTACCTGCTACTGATAAACCTATGGAGACTTCCGTTCCTACTGAGCCTTCTTCACCCACTCTTACCCTTCCTTCTAAAATAATACCTCACCCAGATTCCTCATCTCTCTCCATTTCAGAAACCTCTAAAATTGTTGATTTGTCCTCTCCATCTTCTGAGGACCCAACTAGTCAAAGAACAAGTGGAGAACAAGGTCAAAACCTTGAGGTCACAGAGGGTTCTACCATCGTTGCTACTGATTCCACGATGGTCATAGTGCTAATTGAGGAAGAGAATATTGTAACCGTCTTTGTGGTGTTTGCTGATAGTGTATTGCATAAGATCATCTCTCAGAAAAATGAGGTACAAGGTATGGGGGACGAAGGGGCCATTGTAACTGTTGAAGGCGTTGCACTAGCAGAAGCCACTGGGCCTCACATGAGGAACCTAATCCCTCTCTATAGGGCCCAAGTCAGGGTTTTCATGCCTAGGATAGTTCTGCTCTTGCATTCGTTGTTGTGCCTTTGGACATACTGGTACCTGAGGTGAGGTCCAGTGATGAGGAGGACTTAGATAACGTGGCTCTTGATGCATTCATAGTTAAGCGGAGGGTTGTGTCCACTCCTGAGTCCTCCACCAAATGACCTACTATCAGGTTACAAGCTAAGGAGGCCTATGACTCTGGCCTTCAAAAGAACAGAAAAAGTAGTAAAAAGTAAATGAGGAAGCTGGTGAAAGATGGTGTGCCCGCAAGTGATAAAGATATTCCTGTGGTAAAGGTGGAAGAGGAAACACCAGATGAACCTGGTTCACTGGTTAGACGGTCTTAGAAAAAGAAGCAGCTTGCTTCAATAGAGAAGTGGTCAACCTCTAGGTCCAAATTAAAGGAGGTGGTGAGCGAGTCCTTGATGTCTGGTGAGGATGTGTTAGTCAAATCCAAGGGAAAGGGGAAATTAAGTGGTGAGAAGTCTGGCAAATGCAAGTCTGAAATTGTTCAGGAACCTGGTTTGGTGAAGAGGATGAGAAGTGAAATCAGCTTTGGCTCAGAACTTTTGAGGCATCAAAAAGTTCTGTTGGGTCGTACGTTTGACCCAAGAATCTCTGAGATGGCTGGTATGCACCAAATTCTTGAAAAGGTTGAGTTTCAATGCTGGGCGCATTTATTCCAAATAGACGTACCTAAGGTATACGAGGATAAGGTACAAAGCTTCTTTGCTAGCCTCTTTCCAGTTGAGACCGACCATATCTGTGCTTTGGTGAATGGAGTAGATATCGTGTTCGATGTCAAGTTTCTTGGAGAAATTCTCAAAGGTCCTACAGCTGGGGTGTCCAGTATAAAGGAAGTGTGTCAGTTTAACTTCAGAAATGCCGTGGTAAGACACAATGCAAACCAAAAGGGGACCAGATCCATAAGAAAGCATTACTTTTTGTCCACCAGCTGCTTTTCGAATTGGTCAACAAAGTTCTCTTACCGCGAGCTGATAGGAGGTCGGTGACCTCTATGTCTGACCTATTCTTGATGGAGCAACTGGATAACTTTTACTCCAGTGATTCTGGCTGCTATTATTATTGAACACATACAAAAGGCCGCCACTTTCAAATATGGTAATCATGGCCTTCCTTACGAGTTCTTGCTTATGCGAGTGTTTAAATTCTTTGAGGTACCACCGGGAACATGCAAGGTGGGGACTAAGAAGCAGACTTTCTCACAGACTACACTGGAAGAATGCGAGTGCCTCGAGAAGAATGGGGGAGTAGGAAGTACATCAACCGTCTCACAACTAATTAATGCTCAGAATAGTGCAATTGAGGAGCTTCGTCGGTTGAATGCTAGGAATGAAGGTCAGCAAGCCCAAAGGGTTCCAACATCAAATGATGAAGCAGCTCGTTTGGCAAAAGAGAATGCTGATCTCAGGGCGCAAGTAGAGAACCTAAAAGCAGAATTGCTCAATGAGAAAAAGTTAGCAATGCCCGAATAGACCTTTTTTCTCCAAACACTTGCTACAGCCTCCAAGCCTTCTACTCCTAGTGCCCCCTAAGTACCCTTTCAGTGACCAGTTTCTGGAAATATTCTTTATTTTTTTTGTTTTGGCATATGTTTTGTTATCTTTTTTTTATGTGGTTGGGATGAAACACTACTGCTCCCATCTTTAAAGTCCAATGTTTCCTTCTGCTTTTTAAGCAAAGGCGTATTAAAATTTTATCTATATAAATTCTATCCTCTTTTATTATATCATTTCTTTACTTCTATATGTTTATTCTCTATCATGTTGTGTGCATATATGTGGCATGAGTTAGCATGATTGGAATTCTTTATGTTGTTCTTCTGTTTGTGTCTTTTCAATGATTCCAAAAGGGAAAAAATAATATTATACGTAAAATCAGGGGGAAGCATAAAGTTAGGGGGAACTTGTGTTGTTCTCCTGTCACTTAATCTGGTTCTCTTTGCTCTAAATTCACGCTATCAATGTTAAGTTTGTCATCATCAAAAGGGGAAAATTGATAAGTTTTTAATATCTTTGCCTTATGTTTTGATGATCTAACAAACTTAATATCAAGGACCAGATAGGAAACCTGACTCACTTGGACTACATCGCATTTAACGGATTCTAACTAAATGTGAACTGCTACAACTTTAAGAGCTAGGAAATCAAACAAGGACCTGATACCCTTGTGGTTCCCTCATCATAGCAGTACAAAGTCAATGGACACAACCGGAAACAAAGTGACTGCCTGCACTATTTCTACCGCACTGTATTGTTTCCAGCGCCCACTCATTCCCTGACCAACTAAAGTACTCACATCATTTCAAATGATGTGATCAAGGTTACCAACATGAGTTTATATTGAAACATCACTTGAATGTTTCAGTTTCTCATTCAAGCATCTTGCAAAAACAGAGAAATCAATTCTCACAAGCTTGAAGAACAAAGTTGAACGCTACTACGGGCGGTTCCTAAAGTCAGTATTTTGTTGTCCTTAGTTGAGCTGTAACTTTGTGATTGTACTTATTGTATCTCCTAAATTACTTAGCTAGAAGCGTTGATTAGGAATCCTCTTGTAAAATCTATAAACTCTTTGAGTTTATGTTGTGACTAGGTTTAGTCATAAGCAAAAGCCTTTGTAGCTATAGAGTGACGCCTTGTGGTGAGAGAATCACGAGTTAATGAAAAATCTTTGTAACTAGGGAGTCATAACGTGGCTTGTGGTAAGAGTACCACAAGTTAGTTGAGTTGAATTCTTTGTAATGGAATCATTACAAAGTGGCTTGTAATATATTTTTACAAGTTAGTGAAGTCGAAAGCCTACTGGTGTATATCGTGATTTTTGGTCCCCTTGTGTGAGATTTTTCCACGTAAAAATCTCGTGTCTCCTTTACTTACAGTTTATTAGCATTCTCAACAGAATCTCGTAGAGGACCAGGTACTCTACTGTGCAATATATTATGATATTTTATTTGAATTTTTAAACGGATCCATGTATCTAAATTACCATAAGGCATCCGAGAACTTATGTGGAACAATTACTTCCTTTATTAAATTGCTTAATATGACAAATATTCATTATTTTCTAGAACTTCGTACACTTCTTTGTTGATTTTTATTATATAACTTGCACACACAATTTTTGAAGTAATTTTTTTAGATTCATTTATAAAGAATATACATGCAATGCGTGTGTCCAAAAACTAATCGTAAAGATATGAATGAACCAAAAATATAATAGATGATAAAATCGAACAATTCAAATACTACATGATAAATGGTAACACCTTTCCCTCTATAATTCTAACACTAAGTTAGCGAGCAATTTTTTGACAACCTACTTTTGTAAAATGTTCATTGAAAAGTATATATTTCTTTACCTTATTAACGTAAAAATAGCACAGTATAGCCAGTTTTCGGATTAGTCATTAAAAAATAGCCAGTATTTATCAAGTTAATGAAAAATAGCCACCATTTTGCTACAGTAGAGGCCGGTCCAGTATAATATACTGGAGTTCAATGCACTTGTATATGAACTCCAGCATATTATGATGGACAGGTATACTTTGCTAGCTCCAGTATAATATACTGGAGACTGGAGCACCAGTGCTCCAAACTCTAGTATATTATATTGGACCACTGTACTTGCTGGAACTCTAGTATATTATGCTGGAGTTCATGTGTACTTATGCTGGAACTCCATCATATTATGCTGGAGTTCTAGCATACTTATCTTGGA